AGGAAGGAAGCGGCAGCGCTCACATCTCTGGCTGTCCAAGAACAGCTCCGGTCCTGTTGGACTCCAATTCCCAACCCCTTAGCATGCCCTGCCTCTGGTCGTGGTGAAAAGGAGTGCTAGGAGTTGAGCCCAGTGAATGTACTGGTTGGGGAGGCTGAGCCTAAGCCACATAGAAGTGGTAGCTTCCCAAAGTAGGTCTCAGGAAGAAATCTGAGATACACCAGTTCAAAATTTATACCCCACATAAAAAGTCTGTTATAAACTAGAAAGACAGGGGTCTGACTGCTGGGCCAGGTTTGTACCTGAAGAGTTCAAAACAAAAAACCACCAAGTCTTCAGTATGCAATGGATTACACCACTGACGTTTTCCCACTTGCGGTATGATCCGGGGGAACAGCATGACACTTCACCACCCTGAGCTCATGTTCAAGGAACATGAGAATGAACATGAAAACAAAATGCCACCGAATTCGAAAGAGCCTTCCTTTGGGTGAGCACTTGCCCCGTTTACTGGGTGAACAATTGACAGTACTATAAATCTGGGCTCCCGCTGACTGTACCTTGAACTCGTGGCTGTTGGACAGGCTGCTCTGACCAAGTGAAACATGGAAAAGTTGTGTCCACAGCAGAAAATGAATAAATATGTGTTCTTTTAATATTATTAAGACTCACTGCAAGGGATTTACGTCCTTCTGTGCTCCCCAGCCGGTTTCAAAATAGTTTGAAAAATGAACTACTATAACTATTCTTCAAAAATAAAAGAGTTCACCTCATCATTTTTCCGACTCCTGAAACCCGAAGTCCAGGTGGGAGACTCTTACCAAGCAACATTCCCCACTTCTCGGTTCATAACTGAAGATGAAATAGAAATGGAATGAAAGCAGCCCTTGTAAACTGGGCATCTCCCCAGCAATGGTGAAAATGCTATCATACTGGGATTATTTACACACGTATATCAAATATAGGCACAACTGCATTGCATAATGGCAGATAATTTGAGTGCCAAAAGCATGGCACTCAACCTTGCTCCTGGTTGCTGAGATTATCTTCTGCTTACTTTCTGCTTTTCAAACTTACAATATACTTCCTCCCCACACAAACAACACACCGTTTGGTAGAAGAGAAAAAACATTGTTCTGTCCTCAGTCCCATCAGAAAATCAGAAAAGCTGTGCTTGCGCCGCTCTAATATTCTGAGTATTAAAGCAATTTAATCTTTTCCATCATAAACTTCTTGACATGCTAGCTTAGCAGACGAAAAACACTGTTTTATAAAATCATTTTTATCTGAAATTTCTTGAGACTACCACAGCATCTGGTCAATTTTAAGGCAGCCAAAAGTTCTTTGGCATGAAAGATGGGGAGAAGGAAGGAGCTGAGAGCAAGCATGCTGTGCACTCAAAACAAAACCTCATGTGTTGATGTGTTGAACTGAAACTTCCTCCATTTATGTGACTAATGCTGAACACATCGTTTACCAACCCCCCCAAAAAAGGGGGGGGGAGAAAGAAAAGAATTAAAAGTTAATTCAGGTGTGTGTATTCATTGTTGAAGTATCTATGGCTTGTTTTAAACATTGCTGCAGAAAAGAACAGTTTTGAAAGCAGAGAGCTACTAGAAAATAGTATTGACGAGCATAATGATACTGATAACCCTGCTGAATAATACTGAGACTTCGTATGAGAACCATATTCACAAGAAAAGTTGCATTTTTACTACTATACTAATATCACAAAAAAGGCATTCAATTTTACTTTGGAACAAACATTTGGAATTAAACTCATGGTGAATTTTGTCCTTGATTTCCGTAACAAACAAATAACAAACAGTCATATAATTATAATTTTAGAGGAAGGCATGAGTTGCTTTTAAAAATTGGTTGGATTGAAAGGAAGAGAAGTTTGTCAAACATTTGAGTCTCAATCCTGCCAGTATCAAACCTAGTCTAAACTCTGTTAAAGATAATCAAAATTCCTCCAGACTAAATAAGGCACATTGTACAAATACTTTTTAATTTAAATGTACAGTTCTACAAAGGCACTAATGAACCCATGTGAGTGATGGAGGAATCTCTTGGGCTCAAGTCAAATCTGTTCCTTCCGTCTGGTCTGCTCTTATTGAAGCGGTGCTAAAGTTGAGCTACTCCACTTGGGAATTTGATGCCAATTATGTTCCAGCAATTGCAGATGCCTCTGAATATAGAATTTTGGATTGACTAGAATGTTTTTAAAGCTACTTTGAGAATCCAGTTAAATCTTACTTGCTTTAATTAATAATTATTGCTATTATTGTTATTCTAAACAATATTCAGGCATTGTAGTAAATGATTCAGTGCCTATACTGTGTATGTCTCAACTGATTTTGAAAATAAAACAGATCTACTTTGCCCTCCTTCATTTTAAAAGCAAATATTATACTTCTGTCACTTCAAATTACAATGTCAGTAATTTTGGCTTGTGTTCACTCACTTAAAGGTTCGTAAGTGATTGAAACCGGTGGGGGAAACTTGAACAAACATGAGTGAATACTGTACTTACGGAAGGACCTATTTGTTGATTTTGAAATTGTTTGATAATCTATCATTCGATCTACATAAAATGTCAGGGTAATTGATGTGTGCGAATGTGTGTGTGAACGTCCCAAAGTCAAATGTGTCAAATGATTTCTGGTAGCCATAGCAGCTGTTGAACATAGACCAAATTTCCATCAGAGCTAAAGGAAAGGATCCTCCTGGGTACTATTTTACATGCTTTTAATCAGAAATTAAAAGTAAAATGCAAATTGTTTCCACCAGCTTCTTAAAGAACATTTTATGAGTGACTGATTGTAGAAGGGGCAACATGTGGAACAGTGTATATTCACAACTCTAGGTGATGAGGATTCTAATTTACCTTTAAGCATTGAAAACACTTCCAGAAAATCCTTGATAATTATTGTATCAGTAATTTGTACCAAGGGACTTTATTTGCCTTCAGCTTTATTAGGTCTTTTCTGCCTCCAGCACAATTGACCACATCCTGAAAGAAACTGCACATTGACTGTAGTGAAATAACTAGGAAAGTGAATACTAAGGCGCAGCTCCTTCTCCCACCTGCTTTCATTTCTAGTCTTCACCCTTTTCCCATGAGCATCTTCTGCTCCTTTCAAGAGCTGCAGAAGAAGTCTGGCCTCCCCATACAAACCATTCTTCAGGCTGGGAGTCCAGAGCTCACTCACATCCTTCTCCATGGAAAGCACCGTCTATTAATAGAACTGCATGCAGCTAATGAGAAAAGGGCGCTCTGGGAGCTCGGAGAGCAAATGCTGAGGGCTGACGTTGTTTGCAAAATGGATGGGTGAAGGTAAGGGAGGATTCCTGGATCTGCAGCCAGCTCCCAAAGTCTGAGACTGACTCAATTTTTCTGACTCCAAAGGAGACCAAAAGGATTTTCCGGATTTCCCATTTTTGGCACTTGTTATATAGAGAGAGAACCAGCCACTGACAATCAAGAACTGAGTAAAGTCTGGAGATCATACCATCCAACTTCTGGAGATCTACCACCTCACTCTTGATGAAATTTTACTTTCACACTTAACACATAGTCAGTCATATGTGACTATTAGGTTAGGTAATTGAAACAGGTCATTAATGAAGAGTTTGTACTCTCTGCCTCTGAGTAGACACACAAACTTCTCTTAATCAGATTAAAAGAGATTGGTAGGATTATGTAAATAGGAGTTCACTACCAAATTTGCTTTCCTCTCCTCTCTTTCTCTCCCCCCCCCCCAATTAATCTTACAGATGAAGATGGGGATTATAAATCGCAGTAGTAATCTTTTGGCTGGTTTCATTTTTGTACAGAAAAACCATTCAATATGGTACTTCTTATGGTCAGCACAACTTTGTGAAATTTCTTACATCCATCCTTAATATTTTTATATCTATTTCCTCCCTTCCGAAGATTAAAATGTTAAGTGGGTATTTTTCCCTTTTTCTTTTAACTGAAAATGGGGCTTTGATGACTGAGGTGAGGGCAAAAAGTGCGGAGATGTTCAAAACATACCAATCTCTATAGAAATTTGTTCCGAAAATACTGTATTTGCTTTGGAAAGACTCAATCAATTAAAAGAAGACGGTTTTGGAAAGACTCAATCAATTAAAAGAAGACGGTTCTCTATTCTGCAGGGACTAGTCTAGGCAGCAGCCAGGAATCAACAGTAACTGGAAGGGCTCACACGGAGGATACACACTACTACTCTTGCCCAGTATTGAGGGCACTTAACGATAAGCGCTTCTACCCCAAATTAAGTTCAGGGACGGTGATTATGGCCTTTTTACACTTCAGGATTCTCCCTATTCAGTGTGGGTCGAAACGCAAAAAGGAAAGGAAAGGGGAAAGGTAAAGAGGGAAGATACAGAGACAACAACGAAAGAATTCTTTTTTTGTGTTTTGCTTTTTTCATAGGACCGAACACACGTGGCGCTCAAAGGTTCAAAACACCGGAGCAAACGCTTCAGAGGCAACAGTTTCCGCGGGGAATGAGAACAGAGCGCCCTGCAAGTTTCGCTGCCTACCCAGACCTTCCTTTCCGCGCGTGGTCGGCTCATTTGCCGGGCTCCCCGGTTAGATTTTTGCTGGGGGAAGAAGCTCCTTGGCCTCCGTCTCTTTTTCTCCCTCCTCGTTTCTCGGGGCTCCACCAATGGGGGAGCAGGGCCTAGCAGCGCCAGGCTTTGGGCCAACATGATTGATGCCCTCGGAAAGAGGCGAGAGAGGGAGCCCACGGGCGCGCATGTTTCCCCTCCCCACCCTCTCTCCTCCTCCTCCTCCTCTCCCCGCTTTTCCTTCCTCCGCTTCCGGCCGTCTTTTTGCCTCTTCGGGAGCAAGTGAAGCGAGACCAGAAAAGCTGCGCGTATTTTTAAAAAATCTCTAGCCCTGAATCCGGAGGAGGAGGAGGAGGAGAAGGTGGCGGTGGCGGAGGAGGGGGGGAAGTCACCCTCTCTGGGGTGGCTCTCGGCCCAGCATGGATCACTTAGGGGCGCACCACCTCCACCAGAGCCACGCCGAGCCCATTAGCTTTGGAATCGACCAGATCCTGAACAACCCGGACCAAGGCAGCTGCATGATCTCCAACGCGCGGCTGCAGGACGCGGCGGACTACGGCCTGGGAGGATGCGTGGTGAGCAGTGCCTACAACCCCATGAGCGGCGGTCACTACGGCTCGGCCCCCGGCGGTGGAGGGTCCTCCTCCGCCGGGGGCTACAGCAACGGCGGCGCCTGCAGCATGGCTTCGCTGGCGGGCTCCTACAACCTCAACGTCGGGGCCATGAACGGAAATAACCTCACCGCGGCCGGGGGCGTGATCCGAGTGCCGGCACACAGACCCATGGCCGGCGGCGTCCCCCAGCCACTCCCCACTGCCGTGCCCACCGTGAACAACCTGACGGGGCTGACCTTCCCCTGGATGGAGAGCAACAGGCGCTACACCAAGGACCGCTTCACGGGTGAGTGAGAGGCTCCGGGGCTCTTTCCGCCCCGCGCGAGTTGCCGGCGCCTTCCAGCGCTGTCTCCCCGCTGTCTCCCCGCTCCTGCCTCCGCAAGCCAGTGGGCTGGATAGCCTCCCTCTCCTGCCCTCCAGCGAGAGAATCCCGGCCGGGCTCGCATTCGATTTGCAACTGCTTTAATTGAATCGATTGGTCTGATTTATAAACAGCGTTGACGGATGTGCCTTAGCTGAAAGAGCAGCGGTGCCAGCAATTCAGAAGGCTAAGCATCAAGTAGCAAGCGTTTCCTAGCACTTTTCACGGCGACTTGATTATCCTTATTAAATTAGCGATATCTTAGAGCATAATTAGTAGGAGCTTTCACATTGATTAAAACTTCTACGGAAGAGACCCTAACCCACCATACCATCTTTCTGAAACTCTTACCACTTCTCTCAGAAGCGCAATCGGCAGGCAAATAATCTGGTTGCCTAGCCTTTATGCAACCTTTTAGAAACATTTAAACATTCAGTTTACTTTCTTGGATCAAGATGTTGTTTCAACATTTTTAAATTAAACCATGTTCCCGCAATGTAGGTCCTTTTCCAATTTTCTATACTTCGTTCACGAATAGATATATTTTGCGCACCTCAATTCTGCTCGTAAAACGCGTCCGCCAACCATAACAACACCTTTTAGGAACATGGCTAGAATCTGTACTATAATACTATAATAACCCTTTAGCCATCACTATCCTCGACAATTATCTCTCTGTGTGTATGTTTACGTGTATGTAAGCATACACCTAGTTATGTACACAGAGAGACGTACAGTTATCAAACGATTTCATAAACATAGTTCATCAACTTTTGTTAGCCAATAGTTCAAGTTAGAAAATAACCAGGTTTTTAAAATGTACCATAACTAGAATTTCAAAACTTACAAATCGTAAATTGAACAAAGAATGTGTCTGTCTACATATTCCCTGATCAGGTTTATTCTTCGTAATTGTGTGCATCCCTCACACTTACTGTTATAAATTATGGAGCATGGGAATACGGATAAAATATACATTTAAAAGAAATTTATCTTTCAGTCAGACATTACAGAAATGATATTAATACCGGTAGCCCTGAAAGGTAGTGCCAGAAGATGATCTATAGTTGAGTCCAAGAAACCCTATGCCTCCCCCCCCCTCCCCGCCAGGTTCATCTTTTCCTAGAAGTATGGGGCATGCATGACCCATAAATTGGCACCTACATTATTCGACGTGCCTTAAAAAGGGCAGGGGAGGAGGAGAAGAGAGAGAAAAGTCAATTCGTCGTTTAATGGCAGATCTATTGGAAGATAAATCTTAGCAATTCAATGCTCTTTCCGAATCGTCCAGATTCACGCTCATCCCGCCCCTCCCTCCAACCAGGATGCCACAAACAATAATGGTAATTATATTTCAATTTTAATTTAAACAGCGAGCCCCGACCTTCATCAATAAAGGCTCCCATTATCTGACGCTCCGGAGCAGGATACGACCTCCCGTCCCCAGGGCTAGCCCTTTACCTGGCTTCCAGCCGGGGAGGAAAAATTATTACTTGCAGATTAGAGTAGTGGTTGCTGCGATGTCCCCGGCAAGACGGATGGGCAGATCGAGGCTGTGGCGGCGCGATCTCGCTCTTCGACGCTCACGGCGTTCAATGGCAGCAACTCCCGGCCTGCAATTGTAGATCTAACCGGGAGTCATTACCACTGAACAAGGGGAGCCAATTTCGGACTAGACGCGGCCAGGAAGGCGGAAAATTTCCGTTCGGTTGTAGGCATCCGCTCTCGCAGGTTGGGACGCGCCCCGGTCCGCGCAAAGAGGCCTGTAATCCGGGTTGCACTGCGTTTTGAATTGCCCGCCACGCCTCAGTTTCTACGGGAGTTGGTTGCTTTTATTGAATGGCGGAGAGAAATCGTAAACGGCCGCGGAAGCTGGGGAGAAGGGAGACCGGCGCTTTTTGGCAGAGCGGCAGTGTCTGAAGCAGTTTAATCCGAAGACGCGACGACCCAAGCGGTCCCTTTATCTATTTGGCCTGGCCGCCGCCAGACTGGGGGTCTGTAGACCTGCTGGATTACATCGCCACCACCGCCAGTTAGCAAGGCCGGACTAGAGATGGTTCTTTCGAAATTTCCACCCGCGATGGCGCAGACGCGGCTGTGGGCCTTGCCGCCCGAAAAAGGCCTCGCCTCGGTCTCCTCCCTGCCGAGGGGGCTGCTGCAAAAGAGGTTGCGTCGTTTTAGTTCGAAACAACTCACCCTCTGGCTCGTCCTCATCGGGCTCTAGATATTTTTTATATATATAAGAGGATTTTTTTTTTAACTCGAGTCTCAATTCGTTCTTCGGAAAAAAAATATTTTGTTCTTGCTACAGAGGCCTAACCTGGGCCTTTTATTTTCCCGCCGCCCTTCAGCCGAGGGCCTCTTCTGGGGAAACGCGGGCCATATTGGCGTGGAGAGCGAAGGCTGCGCGGGGCTGCTAGGGCTATTTGTGGCAAAATCAGCCTCGGCACCGCCGAACAAGGTAGTTTGCAGAACTTCCCTCCGTTCCTTGTTCGGTTCAGGAAACTGCTGACTGTTACGGAGAACACAGTACCCAGATAAGGGGAGCTTAGAGAGATCTCAGGTGAGATAACGGGGTGTTGCTGGTAAATTAACCAACAGCCGCCAGTTTCAGTTTGGGGTTTATTTGCTGTGTTCTTAAATGGATCTATGCCACTAAACGACATAAAAATAAAATCAGGTATCTAGGAGAGTTGGAGATTTGAATGCAGTGATATTGTATTTTAAACATTACTGTCACCGTCCTGTTTCTTCTCCGAGTTCCCAGCTAAACTTTTCTATGCATCTCTGGCATCTGATTACTATCTTTCCAGCAAATGCTCTAGAGAGAGGGAAAGAGGGTACAGGTAGATAATGCCCCCCCCCCCAATTTGATAAAATACATCGACCCAAAATAAAATCCCTGCAAGAGAGTCTTAAATCACATTTCTTTTTGTTGCTGTTGGTGATTTTGGTGTCTGTAATGTAACCGTAAAAATCTATTTAAGCTAGGAAGATTTTGGAAAATAGGTTTGTTAATTACAGCTGTCACAAGTGAAATATATTAGAGAAATTTAAAAGGAGCCTTTAATTGCAGGGGGGGGGGGATTTATTTAAGGCCCAAAGGACCCAATACTGTAAAAATAATTCCCTCATGTGCAGAATCATTATGCCATTTAACTAAAAACGCTACAATTGTAGGGGACAGTACAATTATCCTGATAGTTTCAGTCCAACAATGCTACAAAATTTATAACAAGTCACATTTTCTCAATTTAAAATCAAAGCCATAAATGAAGGAATTCCAAAGAATGTCAAAATAACTCAGAGCAATTATGCCTAGAATAATTCATGGAAAGCATTCCTGTGCTGCTGCTTTCATTTCCTGCTTCCTTCATTAACATTTTTCTTAGCTTTATGATTTAATTCCCACAAGTATTATTTCATTTGGTAATTGCATGGACATTTATGAATAGATCAAATATCAAAAGCAGTTTTTGATAATGAGAGGGAGAGATGCATCCCAGTTCCATACACATTTACAAATAACTGTGCCCACTTAATTGCAAGCTGAGTTATGTGACATACAGCGTCAGTTCCATTGAGTTCAGTGGCACTTAATTCTGAAAAATTGGACTCATCTTTAACAAGCAGTTTTCATTCATGTGAACAGTATTGTAATTTACAGGCTATATAATACACATACTTTTAGCCAGAGAGAATGGCTCAAACTTCAGAAAGAACTGCCTGATTAGTTAGGTTTATATTGAGTGAACTCCTGTTGATTTTTCTGAGAGTACGAACTTTGCCCAGGGTTATGGACTTCAATAAAAGCAATCTTCAACAAAATAAAAACACATAAAAATGAAAAATGAAAGTGTACTTTGATGATTACATTAGGATATGAATAATCATAATTTTAAAAGGGTTGTCAAAACAATGAAAAGAGGGATGAACTGGAATGCCAGATTTGGATTTTTTATAGGGAGGCTCTCATTTTGTTCCAAAGTCTAAAATAATAGTAGTTCATGAATGCTCTTATTCAGGCTGCAGCAGTCTGAAGCTTTATTTTTACGTACTTTCTCCCAAATAACATTCAGGTGATTGGGCCATAAATGTACAGTTTCGATCTCCCTGTTCCTAGCTTGCAAGGTAGATTTGGCGCTCCAAACAAGGATTTCTCCCCTCCCCATTCCTGCCCTCTGCCCGCTTCATATATACCCTTCATGTGCTCATCTGCCACAGAGCTCGCTTCTTGCAGAGAGTCTGGTGCCTCCATATTGGGATCCACCTGGGGACATGGGAAAGCTCCTTCACAGCAGCCCATGAATAAGGAAATATTGGTGGGTTCCAAAACAGAGATTTGTCCTTGAAAAAGCAAGGAGGAGATTGTGAGCCCTGGGACTAAGCCTTTGCTCTGTGCCTTCCTACTTCTCTGTTTGACTCTTGGTGTGTGTCTTTCTGTCTCTCCTCTGCCGCTGCTCTGTGGAGTCCTTCCTGATCATGTCACCGCTTGCTTCTTTGCCCCCCACCCCCCTGCCCGCCCTGTCTCCCCCTCCAGTGGCCCTCTCACCGTTCACTGTAACACGCCGTATAGGTCACCCCTACCAGAACCGGACGCCCCCCAAGAAGAAGAAACCGCGCACCTCCTTCACCCGTCTGCAGATCTGTGAACTGGAAAAGCGCTTCCATCGACAGAAGTACCTGGCCTCAGCCGAGAGGGCGGCTTTAGCCAAGGCTCTGAAAATGACTGATGCCCAAGTCAAGACCTGGTTCCAGAACCGGAGAACAAAATGGAGGTAAGCACACCAAGCAAGTGAGCTGTTGCTGCTGTTGCTGTGCTGGAAGACATTTTTCACCCACTGGACTAGGTCACCTTCTGGGCCATCAAGACCAGACTCTCTCTACAAACCTCCAGTAGGTTTTTTTCCCCAAAACTTCTTAGTGGGAGTTGATCAGGAATAGGGGTGATTTCCTGGGGTGAGCATGGTTAGGTCTGGTCTGCCAAATGTGAAGCATGCCCCAAGGATCTACTGGGCACAGATCCAGTCATTCTTGGAAGAGGTTGCTCCCACTGGGAGTCATTCAGGAATCAAATAACTCATTTGGGTTCCTGTTTAAAAGTTCTTTGTAGCAGGCCTTCCCTAACATGGTCCCTCCAAATGCTTAGCAAATGGAGTAGTGGAGCTTGTGGTAAATATGTGTTTTGCAATTTTGGCATATCTGGAGAAAAATTGATGAATGGTGTGCAGTTTTAATGTCAAAGGGATTGAGAGTTGTATCAGAATTCGGATTTTTTTTGTATTTCACTATTGATCCTACCATCCAATCTGATATCTAATATTTATTTAATTTCAGATATATATCACTAATAGTTCATACTTCTTTTTGAATGTGTCCCTTTATATGTAATACATAGACATTTTTACTGTGTTTATCTGATTCACCTGCTTCTTTTCCTCCAATTAATGTACGTTGTCTACTTCAAGCTGGCACTTTCTTATTTCTGGGTAAAGGAGTGTCTACTAATGCTTAAATTAGGAATCTCTGCGTCTTACTTATGCCATTTGCCCCAAAAAACATGACCAGTAGATGGGTTAGATGTAAACTCCCATAATTCCTAGACAACACAGTTGGGAATGGAATCCATCTTCTTTAAGCACTGAGATACATGTACAAGACAAGCCTTCCTGTCCATCATGTGACTTTTGTTGTGGTGGAAAATATTTCGGACATATATTAGCTGCTGTCTCCCATTTGTTTTGCATTGGAAGCCAGCAGTCTTTCTGATCTATTTTAAGTTTGGAATAGATTATTTGAAAACTGATTGGTTAAAGCTGAGTCTTGGCTTATTGGCTGATGGTCTGGAAATGGTGGGGAGGGGCTGGTTCCTGTGAGTTGCCATTCAAAATGAAGACAGCCGGGTTTGTTGTGGAAAGACAGCTTCCGATGCTAGAGCTACAGGAGAAACAAACCAAGGAAAAGTTTTGAATGGGGTCTCAGGCATCCGGTCTTCTGTCTTCGCAAACAAGCAAGGAATTTCAGGGGCTGTACTATATGTACCACCTCTCATTCTGGGTGACTCTTCACCCACCTTCACGAGCAGAAAGGAGGTGGGGCTGCCATCACCCACAGCAGAATCCCAAGCCATTTCCTTTGCTATCCTATGACTCAGCAACAGATTGGAGGGAGCTAGAAGTGGCTTAACCCATAAGTGTTGTCTATTTCTGGAAATGTTGTCTTTAAAATATCAGATAAGCTGCTCCGACATTTTTTTGTTCCTTGTTCTACTTCTGATCTTTAAGTCGTCTAAGGCATGTGTTATCCATTGCTTAAAATATTGTTCCTGGGAACAACACAGGATTTAAGCAATATGAGAGGGTTTGCACCGGGCAGCCCACAGGTATTGAGGGCAAAATTTCATTGTTGGGACTGATTTAGAACTGGAGAGATGAGCTTTTGTAAAATTATTACTAGGACTGAAACTGTGTGGGCAACAGAGGAGAGAAAATTTTCATGGCAGCTAGAGGAGGGGTATCAAACTTGCATTATCACATTGTCGTCACATGATGTATCGTGACTTTCCCCACCCCTTCGCTAAAATGGGGGTGGGCGTGGCCAGCACATGATGCATCTGGGCTGCGGACCCGTGAGTTTGACACCCCTGAGCTAGCCTTTGTTAAAGCAGCCCCCTGGATAGATGAACTAGATAGGATTGAACAGAGTCCCCTGAAAGAATAACTTAAGGACAGTCTTATTTTGCAGTCTCAGTCATTTTTAATGTAATCTGATCAACTAGATTGTCCATGTATGCTATCATAAATATATAGCCTTGAAATTCATAAAGTCCCTAGTGGTATTATTATAAAAAGTCTTCCAGACACCTACCGTAAAGGTAGATATTAACATCCTGCTTGAAAATGACTACAGTTTTGGGAGGCAAACAAGCTATTCTCCCACCTAAAATTTTAAATAGATAGTTTGTCTTGACCTGGAATTAAGGAGGCAATATAGGCAGTATACTTGGTCTTTTCTCAGTGTAAGAAGAGGATAATCATTCCATAAGAAAGTTATATGCTATTATAGACATACAGTATGTTACTCAGTTCTGACTTTTTAAAGCCCTGAAAATTTTGGTCTTTACATCCACATAGGGCAGTGATGGCTAATCTTTTTGGCACCGACTGCCCAAAGCGCATGTGCGCGCATCCCCAAAATGCAATATGCGCGCTTCCCCCATGCATGTGCCCCACCCTTGTGCATGCCTGCACATCTTCAACGCATGCGCCCAGCATCCCCCCCCCTCGCAGATGCGTGGCAGAGACTTGAAGACCAGCTGGCTGGCGAGAGGTGCACATGCACATATACGGCGGAGCTGAGCTGGACGACGGCTCATGTGCCTGCAGAGGGGGCTCTGCATGCCAACTGTGGCGTGTATGCCATAGGTTCGCCATCATGGGATCCTATAGTATTAAGATGGAAAATAAATACGTGTAGTTTCACCTTTGAAAAAAAAGTCAACAAACATGAAGTATTTTCACAGAATAGGGATACAAATGGGGAGAGGACTAGTGATATTGAAGAAAAATAAAATGCTAATATCCTGAGTACAAGTATTCCTCAACTAACAACAGGTCACTTGGTGATCGTTCAAAGTTACAACAGCACTTGAAAAAGTGACTATTTTTCACACTTATGACCATTGCAACATCTTCATGGTTGCGTGGTTTACATTTGGATGCTTGACAACTGACTCACATTTGTGACGGCTGCAGTGTCCTGGGGTCATGTGATTACCTTCTGCAACCTTCTGACAAGCAAAGTCAGGGAGGGAACTAGATTCACTTAACAACCACGTTACTAATTTAACAACAGCACTTTTACAAATGGGGAAAACCTCACTTAACAAATTTCCCACTTAGCGACATAAATTTTGGGTTCAATTGTGGTCATAAGTTGAGGCATATATCAAGCCATTATTATGTGTGTAATGCTAGTAATTATACACTACCATATGAAGGTAAGGCTTGCAATTATATTGTCAAAGCAAATGTTATTTGCACAGTTATCTAGGGATACAAATATTTTTTAAAAAGTATATATATATATATATATATTTAAAAGCTACAAGCAACCAAACTAAAAATAAAGACACCCAGTGCATTTTAAAATATATATTCTATTTGCAAATGTATTCCAAATTAAAACAACACCTTCTCTTTTTATTTTTAAGAGATTTTATACACTAATAAAAATCAAGATACAATATAAATGAAAAGAAAAAGAATAAAGAAAGCAGAGCAAGTGAATAAGTATAAGACATAAATGGAGGAAAGAAAAAAAAAAGAAAAACACATCAAGGTTTGGTTTCCAACTTATTTTATAGCAGTTACAAATTTTTCATCTATCCTTCCTATTTATAGTTACATCATAATTCCCTTCTTCCCATATTTTTCCCTTTCTAATTATCAAATCCATAAATCATCAGTTCATTTTTTTTCATTTTCAGCAGAAAGTCCATAAAGGTTTCCATCATTAATAAATGTATTTGTCGTCTTCCTAATCAAACAAGTCAATATTGCATTTTTGCAAGTTTTGTCATCTTTACCAATCATTGCTTGGAGTATTTCAGAATCTTTCTGTCTTTGTACATATAGTAGTCTTTCTGCTATTACCATATATAAGGAAAACAATTTTTCACGAGTTTCTTCAAGTCCCAACAAAAAAAAATCAGGTTTCCTATGTATTAATCTTTAAAATTCTTTGCATTATTATATGTATTTGTACCCAAAATTTTCTAATTCTCTTACAAGTCCATTATGCATGGTAAAAGAACCCTACATGTTTTTCACATTTCATACACAAGTCAGAAGTATCTTTATACATCCTGGTTCTGTTATCATACACTAGCAATACATCATTTTAGAACTAACTAGTACCTTCTCTTATGTACATTTTTCGGACAACTACTTAGCTAACCACCATATGTAGTAATCAATGCAAGAATCCTGCTTCCTGCTGTTGGGAGAAACTCTTTCTACATAATGGTAGTTTGGGTAAAGACACTCAACTTTCACAGCTCAGTCATGTCTTATGCACCGCTGCCTTTGTGCTGGAATGCAGCCTATATAATAATAATAAAGAATGTGAAGTGTAAAGTGTAAAGGAGAATTGATGATTTGTCTAAAACTGAAAATAGATATTAAATAGATATTTATATGTTTAGCGGTTGACACTACAGTAGCTCCTCTTTTGTATTTATGCCCATAATTGATCACTGGAAGAATTGATGGTCCCAGATGTTATAATTTCATTTGAAATACAGCATGTTAAACTTTTCTATTAATCAGTGTCTGATAAGATATCTGGAGCTACATTTCTTGGCCCCTATTTAGTTAGCAGACTTATTAATAATTAGAACATTTTGAATCTTCTCTCTGGGTACATTATTCATTTCTGTAAGAGCAATAAAACATTATAAACAGGGCATTTGTGTTATTAGCATTTACTCATGAATAAAGAATACATTTGTTTGTTTGTTTTTAATTTGATGTGTCCATCTGTAATTTCACTATAAGCTGTTTTATATTATACATGTGTCCTGAAAATGCTATTAAGGCTGCAATCCTATGCCAATGTACATAGGAATAAGCCCCACTGAATGAGTAACACCTATTTCTAAATAAGCATGTGTAGCCTAATAATTAGCTTAAATTATATATACAGAGAAATGCATATTGTAAAAGAGCCAGGAAAGGTGTTAAAATAAGAAGAGGCCCAGGCTTTGTGTCTGACCCCAGGCA